AGCATGTGCCGTGCCGCACTGTAACGCGCCCCTTAGGAGGCGCCGATTCCAGACCCAGCGTGTATATATATAAGCAGTATATATTATATATATATATATATATATATATATATATATATGTTCAAACAATTAATACGAATATCAACCTAATTAATTCCAGAAAATTCTAAAAATATATATAAAAATTCCAAAAAAATTACAGAAAAGTACCAGAAATTGCATAAACCCTAATTAATTATCTTGGGTCACAGATCAAGCATAACAATGATTTTTAAATATATAAACCTATATATATAACTAAAATCCAACAATTCCAAAATAAAAATAAAATATAATAAAGTATACTTTTAATACTCCAATTTAATCCTAATTTAACCAAATAAAATTAACTTAATATTTTTGATTAATCCGTCCTAACTTTGATTAATCTGTTCTAACAACGATTTAAATTTATAATTTAATTAAAGTGTTGATACTCAAGGTGAAATCATTATGGGTTCTAAGAGGAAAATTAGAGAAGAACTCGCCTGAAAGTTTCAAAACGAAACTGACGCTTCAAACTGTGATCGTCTCTTCCAATCCCATCGTTCTCCTTCTCAGATCCAACCTCCTCCTTGTCAACCTTCTCTTCTTCTCTCTTTCTACCTTTCTTATTTTTCTAACGTGTAAACCTTTTAACCCTAAAGGCTAATGTGTATATTTATACACATTAAAATCCAAATAATATTCTTATTATGACTACCAAATAAAACAATAATCTTTAAATAATATATATATCGATAAACATATATTATATTACATATATATATATATATATATATATATATATATATATATATATATATGCCTTCCATAATTAACCCATTGGTTAATTAAATCCTATATACCTATATATATATATCAATAAATATATATCTATATATATATATATATATCTTTCCATAACAATTATTAATTAATTATATTTATATATAATTTTATATATATTTATAATTAATACAAAAATGATCATTTAAATAATTAAATAGTCATGGGCCTTTATTAATTAACCCAATAAGGTTTCATATAAGCCCAAGACCACATCTTTTGGTCCAACTTCTCTTAAGTCCAAATCCAGTTAATTTAAATAAACCAAATAATTAAAAAAAAAACACTTAAATAAAAAAACTAAAAACTAATTACACTAAGCACATAAACAAAACAATAAATTACAACCAAGTTACACCATACCAATAAAATCAACACGCCAACAATTCAATCAATAATTAAGCACATATACAACAATCATCATATCAATAATTTACGAAATATAAATAAAATAAAACAATTAATCTAAGCACTCATTAAAATAAATCAATTTAAAATTAAAATAAACACAATTAATGCAAATTAAATCAAATAAATCATTTAAAAATAAAATAAAAGTAATTAATTTTAAATAATAAATTCCTTAAAATATTAGGGTATTACATTCTTCCCCCTTAACAAAAGGAATTCCGTCCTCGGAATTCACGAATCCATGAAATGAAAACTTTGATTATTTAATTTCAAATTTCATGATTCCTTTTATCCGTGTGGAAATTAACCCATCCACGCATATTCATAATTAGCAGACACATCTCGTAATTAGCTAATTCCATATTTATATAATTGATAAATATAAGTACACACTAGAGACTCTCACTGGACTAAAGCTATCTCAACCAGATAGTAGGTATCTCATGTAAAATGCACACAAAGGTTATTGAGGCCTTTTGGGGTGAAACTCAAGAGCAAAACCGTGCGGGCTCAGCCCAAAACGGACAATATCATACCATATAGTGGAGTGGGTCGTTACAAATGGTATCAGAGCCAGGTTCAAGTGTCCCTAGGGTGTCTTTCGTTGTGCAACTTCCGTGTTGTGTACTCTTTTCTTAGAGCTTAAGTTTAGGAAGTAAGCTCTAAGAAAAGAGTACACAACGCGGAAGTCGCACAACGAAAGACACCCTAGGGACACTTGAACCTGGCTCTGATACCATTTGTAACGACTTATTCCACCACAGCCGTGGTGGCGAAAATATGAAATCCAGTAATGATCCAATATGAAAAGGGTCTCCCCCAAACTTGGAATCAACAACCTATTTGAATAACCATACTAGCAAACTCACATCAAATATCAAATGGAATAAGAATAATCAAATAATGCATTCTAAGGCAATATAACACAGGATTAAAGAGAGATATGAGATCAAACCCTAACTAAAGTATGAAATTATGCATGACTACATATAAGGGTACAATGGTGAAAAGTTTATATATATATATTTTTATGAAAGTATGTACAATGAAACAAAATGCAAGAAATATGTACAATAATTGCTAAGTTTAACGTCTCTAACAAAATGGAATGTCACTTTGAAAGATTGTTTTTTTATTTTTTTATTAACAAATATGTACACAAACAAAAATAAAAAGACAAGTAAATAAAAATGCAAGAAGTAAAAATGTAAGGAAATAAAGAATGGAAAGAATTAATAATTTTTTTTTTTTTTTTTTTTTTTAAAAGTAACAAAAGAAAATAAAAGAAAATGACAAATGTAAAATAAAATAAAAAATAAAAATAGAAAGAAGAAAAAGTCAAAAAGTCAAAGGGGTAAAGCTGTGATCGATCTTGACTTGGATCTATCATACCATAATCGATCTCTATGCTCGCACGATGGAATAGAGGCATGAAATTTGCAGAGCTTCAAAAAATTTTCTTAGTATGGAAGTGAGATCAATCACAGGGAGAACCGGATCGATCGAAGTGCACTTAGAACGATCAAATAGAAAGTTCGCATGATAGACAGAGACCTAAAATTTGCAGAGAATTGACTGCAAAGAGGTTCGATCGATCCAGGGCACACTTATGATCGATCGAACTAGCACTAAATGCCTAATTTTAAGCTGAAAGTGCATAAAATCCTATGCTAAGCCCTAATGATGGTAACAAGAATGGAGATTGAAAAATGGATAGAAGAATGTATACAAGAATGAAAAATAAAAAGAAATGAGGGAGGAATAGAGTTTTGAAACTCTACGAATACTAGTGTTTAACGTCTCTAATAAGACGTTGGGTCAACTTACTAATCAAAAGAGTCAAAAACCGGACATGAAACATCCTTATTGATCCTCTTTTCCATTTTCTCATTTGATGCCTCACTTATAACAATATACACATCCTCCAAAAGAATGACTTGAAAAGAAATTATGAAAGATGCAATTTGTTTCCTTTCATCCACGGTCTTGAAAATGAAATCAATGATGAGCAGCCTTACACTTGGCAAGGCAAAGTCTTTCAAAGACTCAATTGGGTTAATAGGAAACACCTTCTCTTCATCCGTTTTCTCTTCCTCAAAAATCACCATCTCCTCATCTTCCAAGTTAGTTAAGGAGTCCATTAGAGAGTTCACTTCATTTTTGGAGCTTTCAAGGTCAAAATCATAATTTTTATACATTTTAAAAAGGCATGTCTCAAGAGGGTCTTTGGAGATAGTAGAAAGAAAGCTCTCTTCAACAAGTTCTCCCTTCTCCTCTCTTACCTTTATAGTGGTCACCGTCTCCTCACTCTCTAGAGTAGCAATGGCCGGGATAAGATTATGATCCAAACAAGGAAAGTCCTCATTAATCATGTTGTGCTCTATTAGATTAGCCACTAACTCACTTGCCATTTCCTCCTCTATACAAGATAGAGTGCTAGGCATTAGCTCACTTGCTACTTCTTCCTTTTCACTCTCATCATTTTCATCTATTTACATTGAAGTTCTTGCCAATTTTTCATTTGCCTCTTCTTCCTCCTCTTGATGAGAAAGAGTACTTGCAATGTACCCAACTTAAGCTTCAAGCTTGGCTAAAATTTGAGAATATGAAAGAATAAGTTGAGTTTATGAATTAAGCACATCAAGTAGGACTAACACTTTTTCTTGAAACTCGGGTGAATAAGGTGATGGAGGTGGTTCTTCATAAAATAGTGGGGGAGGGTAATAGTCACAAGGAGGATAATGAGAATAGTCAAGTCCATAATAAGATGATGCATGTTAAAATGAATTGGACTCAACCTTATAAGGATCAAAATATAGTGGAGGGACATAAGGTGAGGGAAAGTAATATTTCCCCAAACTTGGATCAAACAATAGCTTCATCTACATTCAAAATCCAAATGCGGCAAATAATGGCCTCCACACAGGTCGATGCTTGGACAAAGATTTAAGCAATATAATGAGCTTCAATAAGGGCTATCACAAGCATGTAAAGAAGTGAAACAATTAAACTACGAAATTTTCAAGAAATGCTCACAAAGGTTCTTAAACAACTTCAAATTCCAATGCTAGCTTCAAGCTCCAATGATTGCTTTAAGATCTAATGTTTGCCTTCTTTGTAGTCAAGTACTTAATTGAACAAATAATATCAAGAGTAAGAAATATACAATGAAAAATAAAATAAAAATAGAAGTAATCAAATTAACACTATTGTCTAGTCTAATTTCAACAAAACTGTTAATCCCCGGCAACGGTGCCAAAACTTGACGTGCTCAATACCAAAGCATGCAAAGATGAAGTGTAGTGTGACCAAGTTTAAATTTAGAGAATGCCATTACCACTACTAACTATAAATGTAGTTAGAGTAAGTAGGGATCGTCCCAAGAGAAAGAAAATGTATTTTTTGCTTGGAAATCAATGTCAGATTAGTAGGTAGAATCACTACAAAAAAAACAGTTTTTTACCACGCCTTTTCTACCACGATTATTTCAAAACTGTGATAAAAAATGTATATTTCACCACGGTTATAAAAGCACCGTGGTAGAATGTGAAATTATTTCACCATGATTTTCCATTAACCGTGCTAGAAAGTGAGGTTTACTTTTGGCGGGCTAAAATCGCGCACTTCTTAAAGGCAAAAAAAAAAAAAAAAAAAAAATTTATATACAGAAATATATATAGCCTCGCACGTACACAGACCACACGATTAAAATTATGTTTAAGGCAATTCATTTCAGCCTCCCAATTAATCGCCTCATCTCTGCTACTTTCGTTCTCCTCATTTCAGCCACCCAAATTGCCTTCATCTCTACTCTCGTTCTCTGCTCTGAAGTTGCCCTCTCTCTGTCTCTGCAACTGTAAACTAAAAAATCTACAAGAACCAGAACCCATATCGACACATCATATATTATTGTTCAAAATCAAAACCCACCTTCAGTTTCCAAATCCCGCTGTTCCAGTTCAATTGGGTTCGCCGTTCGCAAGCTTCAGCGTCTCTCCCGCTGTCTCTCAACTCTCAAGCCGTCTCTTTGCAGCTGCGAACTTGTATATATGGGTTTTGTTTTATTATTTTTTTTCTAAATCAATTAATCAAGGTCTGTAATTCTTGTTTTGTAAACTAAATCCTATTTGGTGAAACAGGATCTCCCTTTGCAGGATTTGAAAGACTAATTGGTAAATTTGGGTTGAATGTGAGTCTTGAACAAGCTGAAGGCCCTTATACTGGTAAGTCATTCTTCAATTATTCAATATAAATATTTTTAGGGCAAATCATTTCAGCCTCCCCAATCGCCTCCATCTCTATTCTCGTTCTCGACTCTGATTTTGGGGAATGTGGTTTGTAATTTAGGGTTTTATTGGTTTGATTAGCCAATCTTTAAGGTTTTACAGGCGTTTTTATAACTAAATATGCCTTTTTCACTTCTAAGTTAAATTACATATATCAAGGGAATACAACCCGAATTACATATATTGATTAAGCTATAAAAATATTAAAGAAAAAGATTTCAGCCTCTAAATCCCAAATTGGCGGCCTTCCAAATTCACACAATTTCTATTAATGGGATAGTTGTGTTAGTGAGAATCATAAGCTATAAGCTTACTAATGTAGCCAGTTTGGAGACAAAGTTTGTAACTACTTTCATTGCAACTGTTCTATGATCCTGAAAGTCATAAAATGGACAAGCTGAATGGACTTTCCATTACATATACATGTTATATTTTACTGACATGAAAAGATTTTTAAGGAAATTCATGTTGATCTAGTCAATTAAACAATCACTTATACATTTACATGCCCATAGAATCATGACACATGGTTTTACCCCAGATTATGCTAAGAAATCATACACATAAAATCTTAGTCTTAGTCGCATGGAAATGAAAACGAGTTTGGGGAATGCGGTTGTTCCTCTATATGTAATTGGTGTAGCATTGAAAATAACTCTATTAATCACTTAAAATAGATATTTTACTAGCTCTACTTTAAATAAATGGATGAAGAAACTTGTTTTCTTTATCAAGTTCATCAAATTCTTAGGTGGATGATCAAACTTTCTAGATAAATAGATTAGGTAAAACACACAGTTTGATTAGCCAATCTTTAAAGTTTTATTGTGTTGTGTAATCTTTAAGATTTTTCTTTATTTTAATTTTGATTAGTAAAATTGGCCTCATTGTCAATTCTGGATAGTTTATGATTTTGCCACGACACTAGCCCTGTGTTGTTTCTAACAAGCACAAGTTTGCAATAACTTGTAATTTTCTTATATTAAACTTCTTTTCTTTTCTTTTCTTCGTCTTCTTTTTATCCATCTATATGTGTAGCCCGAGTGAACATGGAGAATATATGAATGAGAATGATAATCTTTTGGTGAATAAATCTCTATGAAAGGACTATTAATGAATTGAAACAACAATATCAAGAAATGAATGAGAAATTCCAAAGACAAGAGGAAAGGCAAGATCAAATGATGCAACTAATTCAATCTTTGGTAATAAATCTCTATAAATTTGATACGATATCTCTCTAATTATAATACTAATTATGAGAAGCATTATTTACTCTCTTTTTTTCCATTATTGTGCTTTGGACAGAGTGCTAACAACCAGTCCTCTCCCATTGCTTCACATCAAGTCTCTCCTCCTGAAGATTTGGTTGGCAAGTCTTGTGAGCTATTGCATTTTCATGGGACAAAAACCGTTGTCGCCAAGGGTATGATTGATTCAGTGGATCTAGATTCTCTCATAGGTTCTGCTTCACTTGGTTCTGACTGTTGGAGAGTGTGGATCACTGATCTCATTGATTCAAGTGTGCCTTTATATAGGCCTGAAATTCGTGGCTTTGATTTGAAAGACGCATATGTTACAGGATTTTCAATTGCATGGCCTATCAAGTACATCAAAATTTGTAAGTGACGCATTTCTTTTATGATTACACATTTTTAATGCTTTTTATACTCATGTTCAGGGGGGTCATGTGCCTTTAAGTGACCAATTTTGCAGTGTATAGGGGGTCACGTGCCTTAAGTGACCATTTTCATATTTAATAGATAAAATTCAGGAGAAAAATATGAAGATAGCACAAGCGTAGTACAAAAAATTAACTTAATCCCAAATCGTTGTGAAAAGGCTAGTTGACTTATATTTTTCTATGTACCTCTGTTCAAGTTTCTCCAGTCTTTGTTGTTTCAAAGCCTAGAATAACTTATTTTTGTCATCCCATTATTGTAGGTGTGTGTACTATGTGTAACTCAGATTTATATAAGCTAGACTTATCAAAGGTAGGTGTGTGTACCGTGTGCAACTCAGATTTATGGAAAGCTTGATAATAAGGAGAGAGGTTTTAAAAGCAGGGACCATTTGGTGGGTAGCTAATGAGAAAAGAGTAACTATTGTCAGGACAATTAGGTTCCATGTTAATGGATTGTTTAAAATGTTCTGCAACTCTACTCCCAAAAAGGTGACTTAATTGATATTTTGATAGACAGAAATTCAGTGTAGTGGAAATTGGTGGTTCAATCCATCAAATCAATTAATTTAAGTGAGCCACTTCGATTAGATAGATAGCTTGAGCACTCAATAAATGTGAGTACTATTGTTTAAAAGATTGATCAGAAATTCTCTTTTTTGCTTGATAATACGACTATGATTTTTTATTTTTTTATTTTGGAGCAAGTGTTTTAAGCTAGCTGCTAATTAATCTTGAAGCTTACCTTCTTCCATTTTCCTTAAATGTATGTCATATCAGTAACAAATGTTTCCTAAAGAGGAGAAAGCATTAAGGAAATGAGGTCACCACAGTTGCATGAACATAAAAATATATAATAGAATCTGCTTAGATATATTTTCAATCAAACTCAAATATTTTTTGGATAAAACTTTAAAATCCTAGGACGGTGACCGCATAGAGATATATTTCAGCAACCACAACATTTCAGTATAATACATCCTAGCACCTACAGGAGATAATTGCTCGTGTTTGAAAGTGTTTTTAAATATATAGTTATTTTTATAAATAATTTTAATATATTATGTCCCTAGTTTATATCAAAGTTGGCCAGTGAAAGTTTAAGAAATCTAAATGGAGACTAAAAGTATATATATTTTTTTGGCACAAGAAATCATCTAGGGTTCAAGTCACGCAAGAAAGCTGAATTTTCACTCTTCATCAAGACATGATCAAAACGATTCACCGGTCGGATCACATGAGACTCTTGGGTTGCTCAAAAACTTACAAGATCTCGTGTAAGAAGGAAGAATCTGAAGCAAGATTCTTACAAAATAAAAGTGGGACTAGCATTATAGATTAGTCCAGAATGAAAGAACAAAGGTGATAATAATATAAAATCAGTAGTTAAATGCCTCAAACACCTCTGTCAGTTGCATGTTTCATATTTACAACGTCGACAATATTTAGGTTTTCCTTAATGACATTTCATCTTTAATTATCAAATCACAGTAATCAAATTATCATTTTTAATTTGGTACATAAGTATCTATCTACCTTATTGAATTTGCACAATCCTCCTATGTTTTGACAGAGAAGTGCCCATTTTATGTGCATTAGTGTTACACAGTAGGAATATTCTCACACTAATACACTAATCGTTTAGGTTCACAATAGGCATAGATTTTTTTTTTTTTAGTGTTTCAGTTTTGATGTAGAGCGAACCCCCTATATATATAGATAGATATATAATATAAGTGAGAAGTAATCAAAGCAATTTCTTTCAGTTCGATAAACAAACACAATAAGAAGCTATAAGTAAAGAAGCTAGCTAGGCAACCACAAAGTTTATAATTAGATTGTTGATTAACTTTAAGATTTAATTGGTTGTTTTTGCTGTTTTGTCTTAGTTTATAACATATATTTGTCTTTGAAGTTCTTAATTAAGATATTGTTGTGGTTGATGTAGGACAACTGCAGTGGTTTGATCATTATTTTGCTGAATTACTTAATCTTCTTTCTCTTATTGTATGGTTTGCTCAAAACTGCCCTTATGTTATATAGGTCGAACTTATTGAATGAGCATTATAGAAGCCTATAATTCCAGCATCTGATTAAGTACAGTAGAGAATTCTCTATAGTATTTACTGATCTCTCTTCACTAAGAAGTTGTCATTTTTTTGTAGTATGAAATTTGCAACAACCACCTACATAACTCATCTGAGATATGTAGAGCTCAAAGGGACTATCAGTCCCTATAAGTTTGAGAGTAGGAAATTTGCAAAAAGAGGGGATAGAGATTCAATGTTAGCTAAGCATAACCAAATTTTGTGGTTTTTGTAGGGAAAACTTGTTGAAGCTCTAACAGGTTACATTTCGCATAATCATATCATGTTTAATGATCAATTAAAAGATCAGCAAAAAAAATATTGCTTGTTCAGGACAAATATGATCGGTGAATTGAAACTAAAGCATCTCTCCACATTTCAATTAGTCAAAAATCATTCAAGATTTATGAATAAGTGAGGAATCAAATGAGAATACAAGACAACTCTTCAACTTCTAAAGTGGCTGTGACAAACATAATTTGTGAAGCTAGTATGGCTTCGAGCTAAGTTTGAACTGATCATTACTTCGTCCAAAAATCATATGTTTGTTGGAATGAGCTACTCCATTAGTGTAAACATGTGCCAAAAGTTAGTCATTTGGAGGAGGATCTCATAACTTATACACTTTATAAAATTAATTAATAAGAATTAGATATGAGCTGACTTGCATTGCATGTTGAGGTAGTTATCTTTTTGTGATTTTGCATGCTTTATCAAATATTGTACGAGGACAATTTCATACTAAACTTTATTAATTAGATATGAGCTGACTTGCATTGCATGTTGAGGTAGTTATCTTTTTGTGATTTTGCATGCTTTATCAAATATTGTACGAGGACAATTTCATACTAAACTTTCGTAATTTGGACTTGATTCAGAAGTACTTGTACATGTTAATACTTGCTTTGGGATTATTTCCTTGATACACTGAACTTGCTTTGCTTGAGTTAAGACCATATTAATACTTGCTTTGCTTGAGTTAAGACAAAGAGGAGATCTTTCAAAATACCTTTATTATAATGCTTTACATTAATTCTCTTACTTCAACTATCTTTGTAGGTCAAAGTTAGGATTGCGGGTTGCAGTTCCTTTTTTTGTTGCCGCTATATTTTTTGTATGGTTCGAAGAAGAAGTTGCAAGAATGATATGAAGAATTTTTGTTTTATTTTGGTGTAAGTAAATATATAAGGTGTGGATCATGTACTTTTTTTAAATTTGTATATGGTTAATTTTTGTAAAAAACAATGATTTGGAATTGGTTATATATATATATGTATGAGTTGTAAATTATTTTGGTTATGATGCTATTTTTTATTTATTTAGGGTTCTATAAGGTTAGTAGTAGTTAAAATAAAAATAAAATAGCCTTCATAAGGGTTAAACTATTATTCAAAAAAAAAAAAAAAAAAATTATATAATACTTTCTACCACGGTTATGTACCGTGGTAAAAAGTCTATTTTTCTAGTGCGAATAGACTTTTTACCACGGTGCAAAACCGTGGTAGAAAGGTCAACTTTCTAGTACGGTGCAAAACCGTGGTAGAAGGTCGACCTTCTACCACGGTGCAAAACCGTGGTAGTAAGTCCAGACTTTCTACCACAGCTGTTTCTATCACGGTTCAAAACCGTGGTAGAAAGGCTTTTTCACTGTGGTAAAAAGTCTTTTTTCTTATGGTGAATGATCAAAAGGTGGTTTGATTGGTTAATTAAACTAAGGTGCAATTAAAATAATGCAAGTGAATAACAATCAATAAATTAGGAAAAAGATATAGGAGAGAGAGGTCTTGGGACTTAGAGTTCACCACTAAGCATCACCTTTCTAGATATTCAATGTTTGATGGATTAGGGGAGATTATGTGTTGCAAAGGAAAATGTGTGCCATTAATTGAATTATCAGGCATGGATGGCCAAGTAAGCATATATTGTCTATCCAAACTAGTAAATAATACAATATATCAATTTAAGCCATTATTCCTTCCTTTAAGTCCACAATTAATACACACCCATTAATTTAGAGAGATTTACTACTTGCATTCATGAGCATGGAATATCAAACAACAAGCATGGATTGTCCACCTATCTAAGAAAATAAGGCAATTACACTACCACTAAGCTAATAACATGAAAATTAAACTAATTAAACTAAGGAGGTGACACAATCCATCAAGAAATAAGTATGAACTATCAAATAAACTATAAGAGTAATCTATTTAAGCTCCATGCCTTGACCATCACTAGATTCATAGTATCAACACACATAGACATGCATCAATGTCACAAAATCTAGAAATAAACACATGAACATTAATCCTATCATACATAGACACATGGATAGAATTAAATGATCAATTGAAAGTATTAAGCCATACAAATCATTGTAGAAACAAGATTTATATATATAAGATGTTAAAGCAACCATACAACACTGTTGGCCTAAGAATTTTTATCTAAAGGTTTTGATGATTACAAACCATTAATGATGTTTATGTACTAATATTTTCATTGAGTTATATATAGTTCATATCTTATATGATGAGCTAGATGAGCCATTTCAAGTATTCAAGTACTCAAGCTATGGACTCAATGAAGCCTCAAAGATTGCAAGAAATCAAAGAAAGACTCAAACTTCAAAGATCAATCAAACAATTTCAAGAAAGAAAGCAAGTCTTCATCAAGCTCAAAAGATCATGGTCAGGAAATGGAGAAAAAGGGTAGATAGGATGGTGAGAGCTTTAGATTTAAATGTTAAAGCATATTTGAATATCTTCTGAAGCTCAAGTTTTTAGGTTCATGCATATTTTCTCTAAAAATTAGTTTCTTAGAAGGCCTAAAATCTTTCCATGAACTTTACTTATGCATGCTCTCATAATAGGAAGTGCACAGAACAAGATGTGTCTCATTTTTAGTCTTACACAAGGATTGGTGCTGCCTCCCAAATATAGGAGCCTGCTCTTTGCACTCCAGTAGCCAAATTGTGTGTCGTAGAATGCATTTTGTGAATTGGAGCCGCCTCCCAGTTATTGGAGCCGCCTCCCATTTATTGGAGCCTCCTCCAATTTTTTGTAGAGCCGGCTCTTCTAGATTATTTGAATCTTCAACGGCACTTTTCTGCATTTAAGACTTCCAACTACTTCTAACAGACAGATTAAGCCTCGATTGTCTATATAAAGAAGGCTCATTTTACTGAAGTAATACACCACTGGATAATACATTCAAGAGAGCATTCAAGAGCATTCAATAAGCCATTTAAATTCTTCTCTGAGCTTTCACTTTCAACCATCACTACATTCTCTCATCCTAGAACTTGAGCTTCATTAATATTCTGATATTCTCTAGTTGTGAGCTTACACTTGTATATCTATTGAGAGAGATTCTTGTATTTCATTTACAAACTTTGCTACAATCTTGTAAGGGTTGGTGTGACCCAAAAGAAGCCTAAGAGAAGGGTGTTCTCCTAGCAAGGAAAAGAAGCAAGGTCTTGCTTCAAATTTGAAGGTTTGCTCTCCACCATTAAGGAGAAGCTCTAGTGAATTTGGGAAGTCTCAAGGGGGATCTTGAGCCGAGGAGTAGGAGTTTCCGAATCTCGCTAAATCACCGAGTTCATTGTTTGCATCTTCCTATCTCTATCTCTTTTATACTTGTGCTTTATATTGCTTGAATTTTTCAATTAATCATTGCATAATAGTTGTTGTAAAACAAATTTCATAAATTGTGAAAATTGGCCATTGACTCTATTCACCCCCCCTCTAGAGTCAATTAGTGGTTAACAAACACAAATCTCTTTTAATTACAAAACATCAAAGTCTAGGAGGCATACTTAGGGCTATCTCTAGCCCCAAAAGAATGGTTTAGCCACTCATTGATATTATCATCCAACCCTCAAGGGCTATCTCCGTGGTAGAAATAATCCTCTTCTTCTTGATAGAAACCCTAGATGAGTGGAAAAACTCTCCTTAATGGTGTGTATCTCTCTCTTCAATCTCTAGACTCCTCTGACCTCTATATTGTATATGGTTCCCTATGATTCTAGATCTCCTCCAAATGGCCAAAATCCTTATATAGGTAGCTCAAATATCACATCCAATGGTCAGACCTCGTGCAGTAGGACCTCCAAATGATTGCACCATGAGCACACCTTTTAATTGGCTAGAACTCTATTTTTTTCTCGCACTTGAGGCAGTTCAATCGATCACAAAGGTGCTTCGATCGATCGAACTATGGCAGTGCCTTTTTGAATAAAGACAAAGCTGAGATATTTTCGAGATATTTTTGGGAAAAGTACAAAAGTGGTAGGTGAGAATAAGATTAAAAATGTTGGATTGATCGAAGGAATGTTGGATCGATCGAACAGGGAAATTTTCTAAAGATAAGGACAAAAGGCTCGATCCATCATGGCATGGTTGGAATGATCACAGTGTGATCAATCAGAGCTTGATTTGATCGATCAAAGAAGGCTTCTTTTCACCACCTTGCTTCCACGTTGCTCCTTTCTTCCACTAAGCTTGAGATTGTTTCTTTTATCCTCTAATTCAGTTGAATTGACTTATCTTGGGGATAAGTGCTTGAAAAGGGAAATAACATGAAATTAGACTAAAACGAAAAAATAAGGTAGAATAAGGTCCTAGAACGTTCAAGCTTAAGGGGTTTAAATGCGCACTTTTCAGTGCTTATCACTTTCTTTCTTCAGAGCATATCTTTACTTCTCAAATTCTTCCAATTCTTTACCTTGCTTATTGAAGCCTTTCTTTGTTTGAACATATGTAACATACAATTCATTGAAGGATTTATCATAATTCTCCTTTGTTGCTTCCTTGTAATAATCTCATCATTAGGTTTTGCTATGTCGTTAAAATATGAGTCATCTGTATTAGACAAAGAAAAACTTTTAGAAGCATCATTATTCACAATAGCAACAAAAGCTAGAGAATTATCATTATCATGAGAAGAATCATCATCAGAAAGAGAAGCATCATTATCCCTAGAAATTGAAACTTTCATTACTTTTCCTTTATTTTTATCTTTGGACTCTTTCATAGCAATAAAGCTATTTTTAAGATTTGAAAAAACTGTTGATGTACGACTTATACCACCACATGTCCAACATTTAATTTTAGTTTCTTTATACTTTTTTTCTCTCCTTTTATCTTGTCTGTCACTTCCCCTAGATGAAGACTCTTTATCCCTAAACTTTAACTCTCCTCATTTTTTAAGTGCATTCATCTTTTCAAACTTGATTAAATTTGTGAACCTCCTAGTGATGAGAGCAATCTCTTTATCAGACTCGCTATAATGCTTAACCTCGGACTTGGAAGATTTGAGCTTTGAAGCTTTTAGGGCTAAGTCCTTAGGTTTTTGGGAATTTCCATAGTACTTCATCTCATAGTTCTTAACATGACCTACAACCTCATAAACTTGCATGGTACTAATATTGTTTTGAGTTGCTTGCAGTGTTTAAACTTTGATTCTAAACCTTTCAGGCAAAGACTTAAGGATTTTCTTGTTAATTTTATTATTTGTCACTTTCTTTTCAAATTGAAACACAAGCATCTCAATCTTTAAAGATTTCACTTCATCTGTACCCTCATAGGTAAGTTGAAGTATGTCCCATACTTCCTTTGTAATTTTACAATGAGCAATATGAGTTAACTCAGATTGGACAACAACTTTGAATAAAGAAAACAAGGCTTTAGTGTTGTCCTTTTTAGCATTATTCTTAGCTTGAGTCCATTCGAACTCTTCCTTTTCAGTGGTAACACCATTCGGTTTTTATAACCTTTTTCGATTGCAGTCCAAACATATTTACCTTGAGTCATAAGAAAAATTGTCATGTTAGGTTTCCAAAAAACATAGTTGTCACCATCAAGCAAAGAAGTACGTTGAATAGATCCACCTTCCCTAAGAACACTATCCATATCAAATTTTTGAAAACAAAAACAAAAACTATTTATTTTTTATTTTTTAAATATTCCACAAAGAATAGGTCAATGTGTGGAGGATGGCTCTGATACCAATTGTGAGTTATACAATACGAAATGGTTGTGGAATATAATATGGATAAATAACCTAGAGGGGGTGAATAGGTTCAACTTACTCTTTTATCCAATTTTTTGTCAAATTAAAATTACCGAAATAAAAGTAAATTAATCAAATCACAAAGCAAAAATAAATGCAAGTAAAGTTAGAGTGACACCGGATTTTAGCGAGAAAATCAATTGAAAAACCTTGAGGTTTTGTGAGCTATCCCAAGCGTAAAAAGATCCACTATGTATGAAGCAAAGTACACCAAACTTTGACTTAGG